GGACATATCGAATTAGATCTAAACAAGCTAAATTTAACTCATCAACTCTGAGCATACCCATCTGTAGAGACAGATCAGTTCTACCAGAACGCATTATCAATAAATATAGCTTAAATCGGGTCAACCATGCAACAGCTTTAAGTAATCTAGTCCAATCTGAATAATAATTAATAAGTAGATCGACAGTGGATTCTTTAACCATCACATGCGTGGACATTGCTTTCTTTAATTCCAAGAGATGGTGTTCAGGACCTTGTATATCAACAGCAGGCCAACACTCCTTCGGCTTCTTGAGAAAACGTGGACCCTCCTCTCATATCTTGACATCATCGATGTTAAACTTAACCCCTCTGGATGCAAAGTCTGCTATGTTTTCTTTAGAAGGTACGAATCTCCATTGGTCCACCTTAGTAAGACTATGAATAGTCGAAATCCGATTTGCCATGAATGTTTTAAACTGGCTTTTCTCATTTCTAATATAGTGCAAGACAATCGTGAAATCCGTCCAAAATTTAACCTCTGCAAACTTAGTATCTAATTCTGACTGCAGCTGGGATCCCATGCGAGCTGCTAAAACTGCTGCCGTAAGTTCCAAGCGCGGTATAGTCTGGACCTTTAACGGGGCTACTCTTGCCTTAGCCGTACCAAGACGAGAACATACCTCAGTGTCAGAAATGTAAGAGCGGACGTATGCCACTGCCCCATATCCATTTTCCGAGGCATCACTGAAAATATGAAGTCCCAGGAGCGAACGATCTGATTGCGGAAACAATACACAATGTGGAAAACTAACGTTCTCAACCCTTTGGAATTCACTTATAATATCTAACCAGCGCTAGCTCTCCTCATTTGGAATCTCTTCTTCCCATCCTAGTCCCAAGTTACTCAAACGTTGAAGTAACTGCTTCATGGGAAGTATAAACGGTGCTAACAATCCCAAGGGGTCGTAAAGTGAGGGTATACTCGACAATATACCTCGCCTAGTGAGGGGACGTTTCGGTATGTGAACTTTAAATTCAAACGAATATACCATAGTATTCCAAAATAATCCCAACGTGCGTTCCGTAGGAAGTCTTTCAAAGTCAATCTCTCTTACGGCTTCTGCTCTCTTTTCTGGATGAATTGATTCGAGAACCTGCAAACAGTTACTTATCCACTCCGTAAGTTTGAACCCACCTTTTCTGAGGAGCAAACCAAGGGCTTTTGCCAGCTCAATTGCATCCTGTACATTATCAATGGAGGCTAAATACTCGTCGACATAGAAACTCTTATATACGACTTCCTGGATATCTCTATTAAATTCCTTACCGAATATATCTACCGTCTTCTTAAGAGCGAAATTAGCGCAAAAGGGGGAGGATACGGCTCCAAACGGATGAACTGTTACACAATATTCCTTAGCTGTTCGTTTAATATCACCGACTTCCCACCACAATAGACGAAACGCTCCCTTATCTTGTCTCGGGATTATTACTTGAAGAAATATCTCTTCGATATCAGCGGCTAATGCTACGTTACCTAATCTGAATCGTTGAAGTACACCAAATAAACTATTCACGGTATTTGGTCCTCTTAAAAGCTGATCATTAAGAGAAAAACCTTGATAGACAATCGAGAACAATTCTGAGTTTTCCAGGCTTTTTAGGGTTGATAACGGGATGATGACGAATATACCAACAAACAGCATCACGGTCAAATCCCTCCTTGCTAGCTTCAGTGATGTAGCCCTTACTTAAATGTTTATTCATCACAGCTTGATATTTCTGCAGAAGACTATTATCTTTCATAAACCTTTTCCTTAAACACTCTAGTCCGCGTTCAGCCAGTTCCAAATTATTCGGTAGACTTGGCCTATCATAGTTCTACGGTAGACCAACTTGAAAATGGCCGCCCTTCAGTGTAAAGGAACTACTAGCTATTTCTAGAGCTCTTTTATCTTCCACAGAATATCCATTACGAAACGTATCTGTATCCTCGAACTCATGATTATATAATCTTTCTATATCTCGCAAAATATCATTAGAACAATGACACCTCTGAACTTGATGTAGAGACCTTGATGCCCCCTTAGGACCTATAATCATCCAACCGAGATGGGTTCGCACAGCATCCGGAGCATCAAACCCAATCAATATCCCTACAAAATTACTTTGCAACCTCGGAAGGGTTATGTCCTTTAAATGTTTCCACCTTTTCAGTTGGAGTTTGGTTAAAGGTGCTGCATGATCGATCGGAAGTTTCTTGGTCGTGCAAAATTTGTTGATCCTTATAGAATCCCGTTCATCTAATGAAAATACCTCTAAATTTATCTCCAAACATTCACAACTGGTAGTTCCGTTCACAGTCGCCACCCTTATCGAAGTCTCTTTACCTTTGATACCCAACTGATTAATTAATTCTTCACATACAAGAGAAGTGTCTGAACCACTATCTAGAAGTGCATATGTTTCCAATCATCCTTTGGGACCGTATAGTCTGACTGGAACGATACCCAAACAAATCCTTGAGGAGTTCGAATCCTTAGCTAGGTTCACCATATGGTTATCAATACCATCAATATACAATAATGAATTATGCTTAACCTTGCAGCTCTCAACGTCGCACTTGAAGCCTGAGTTGCATGACATAGCTATGTGACCTTTCCTCAAACATGAGTAACATAGACCACGTCTTCTTATCTCCTGCCTCCTTTCTCTTACATTCATTTTTGCAACCTTGGACAATCTGTCGCCTCATGATCACCTAAGCAGATTGCACAACTCGATACCTTGACTGAGTTATTTGGATCTCGTCTAATAGCATGAAAGCGTGATCTCCTATCAGCTTGGCCTTCAGAATTCCCTTTACCGAACTTTGAGTTACACTGTACTAATCTACCATAACGGGTTCGGTCAATTCTGGCCCTCTCTTCTACAAAGATCACAAATTCTTCAAAGCTCGGCTCCTTCCCGTGGATCATGATCTTATCAGCGACTTCCGCCCACTTATTTTGCAATTCTAGTGGCAGACATAAAACTATTACCTCTAAATTAGTCGTAGGATTAACGTCATCGTCCTTGATGACGTTGCATTCTAATTCGGCGATATCAACCTCTTCTTGACGATCTAACATCTTAAGTTGCCGTTCCAATTCAAGTCTCTTTTCTAAATTCCTTTTCCTTAGTAATGCTTTATGTAACTTTAATCTACAAGTACTTAGCTGGCTAGAGGACCTACTATTAAGACTAACATCATCGTTAACGTCATACATACCACAAAGAGCTCTGGAAATTTTACCGTCCCTCTGTCTTTTGCTTCGAGTTTCCATAGTAAACCTTCGTTCAGTAGAACCAGAATTTGGACACAAATTACTGTCCAGACTAATCCAAAGTGTGAATACAGAACCAATAATTGAAGAACCTTTTGTTACATCCAATTATGAGCTTTTGCCCATTCCAACTATTGAAGTACTGGCCGTCGATTTTCGCAAATCACGAACCCAAGTAGACAAGAGAACCAAAACTCCAAACTAGATACCAAGTTTATTCGCAATTCACAAATAATCAACCAAAGTCGTTCTAACAACAATAATTATAACAATTACAAAACAAACCTTCAATTTTGTAGGTTCCCGGAGTAAAAACTCCCAAATACCAAACCAATGACAAAAGAAACCAAAATGTCCGAAAAGAATGATATAAACAAACAAGTCCAAAAGTTAAGTAAAACAAACACATCCAAAAACACAGTAAAACTGATGTACAGTAAAAAGGTTTTATTCAGCCAAATGTCTTCAGTTCTCCCGTAACACACAGAGGACAAGCTCTTAATGGCTAATTATTCATTCAGCTTCCATAAGGCCACTTCTTACTTTTGGGAAGACCTTGATGGATTCTCAGGATTTTCTGTGGTTAAATTTGATCTTATATTCAGCGTTTTGCTGACCGATCATCAATCCAACAGAGTTTACTTTTGGATTGCTGATTAGAGAATTGTACAGATATTCATTTACTAAGCCCTTCATGCTAATATAGTTGTAGGATTACTAACAGCCGCATGAAAATGATATGCTCCGAAATTGTAGCGCAGTAAATAGGTGAAAGTGCATGAAAAGGGTTCTATTTGAATTATACTTAAACCAAACGTAGTGGGCTAATGTGTCTACAGCTAATCACAATTAATATTAGTGCAAAAAAATCCAGAATGGAGAAGCCAAGCAAAGTTAAGGATGAAAACTATGAGAATAACGATATAAAAATTGTTAGAATATTTAAGTATCAGGTAGAAGTTAGCTTTGAAATTGAAAATGCCACAGGTATTTGGAGTTTGACAGAGCTTTAACCAGTAACTCCTATTATGATGCGTACCCACTTAGTGAAATCAAATCTCAGAATCGAGGGGTTTCGAAGATATATGTGATAAACTATCACCATATGGATAATCGACTGATATAGGTTGGCTAGTGATTGCAGGGAATGTTGAGCAAGGCGTTCGCACACGTGATCTGCTGCAGATGCATAACCCGGCAGCTTCAGCTTGGTAAGCCCATTAAAACTAATATGGTCAGCATCAAATAACCAAATTTTTCAAACCTACTGAGTTTGTGGATTTATTTACCGCTACAAAATAATACATATATAAGACACACGTTTAGAGTGATCTTGCGTGTAGTCCAAGTATGTATCTGAAAGCTTAGACGGTACTCTCTAATATTAGTGACGTAACGTGATGAAATAGAATGTAGGATTACTATCTACTATTTACAACCAAATAAATTCTCTAAGTTTTTTTCCACTCGTAGCCATTGGAATAACTCGACCTGTATTATTTATTGGAACTTGAGCTTATAGGCCTGAAGGCCATAAACAGTGAGCAGACAAACGAGCTAATTAGATTTCGGGTTGCCACACTATATACTGTATAAAATTGTGGTTTCCGCTTGAGAATACAGTACTTTGACGGAGGAACGTCGTTGCTTCTTCAAGGAATATTTTCAATTGGCAAACAATATTATTGCGAGAATGTCTAGTTAGTCAATATTTTTCATACGGTACTAAGCGGCTGAAATATCGCCTTTTTATTTTACGTAAAAATTCAGTGATTCGGTTGTCAACTTCACAGCTATTAAGTAATTTGTACTTGAAAATTGGTCTTTAGTTTCGTTTAAATTGGTGATGCATATTGAACATTTTCTGTAATATATTTCATATTCAGATTTGTGTGGTAAGGACAGAAAGCCTGCTGTCTATATTATTCCTTTACTTGTACCTTTCTGTGACTGTCTTGTCTTCTATTGAATGAGTCACTTGAAGGTGCAGACACCGCTGCTTCATATTGAACTCAAACTCATAGAGATTAATTTGGTTCAATTGACCTTCTTACAAAGTGAAAATTTCAATAATTGTTGAATTCGGACTGTCCCAATATGAAAATTAAACAGTTGGCCCATATATGGGCGGAAAGCAGGAAAACGACGGCATTTCAAACCTCGAGCGATAAAAAGGGAATACTTCGCTCTATTTCCACATGCAAAGCATTAAAAGTAAACTTTCAGTAGCTTCTACTGTTGATTTTCCTTCCAAATTTTCACACTGAAAGTCTCCATCTACTCATTGTTTGCCATTATTTCCCTGTTTCCGGTTATTTGGGGACATCCTAAAACGGGTTGTGTGTATTTATTCTTCGTTCATCGTATTCCAAATAGTAAATAACAGAATGAAACAATTTGAAAAGGACTTTTAATACTTCTGAGGAACAGAGAAATACGTTTTAAAGTGTTAATGATAGCTCTGGTTATACAGTTAAACTTTATGTTGTTCTTAACGTCTATTAATCACAGTTGGGATTTACATACAAGGATTCATCACAAAGTAAATTTTACAGTGATTTCATGAAATGACACGAACAAGATTTTTCACATCTTGAAGACAGATTTATCCCTAATGTAAATTTAGTTGATCAGGTTCCGCTTCATACCGATTGTCGTGTTCCTTAATTTATCCAGCGTTCAGCTTTTTATTTGCTAGTCACAAAAATAGATCATATGTAATATTCAGCATGCAGTGGAACACAATAATCCTCCCAACTCATGATATTGCTCAGATTTGTTGTCATTTCTGAAGCAGTAGAGGATAATGATTATAATATACACTCCGGTAGTTAGTTCGTTTTTTATAGTTTGGTATGAAAAACTAACCCTAATATGTTTGTAGTGCATAGGATTTGATTTTGGTTTCAGTCCTTATTAATAAGAGTGATAGCCCGGTCGACTCCGACAACCTCCGAAGCTTAATTTTCACTGAAGATCCGACTTCTCTTTGGAAGTGCCCACTAGTGAAACTGGTACCAGTCGTCGACCACTGGGTGAGAAAATCAGAATCCCAATCGCAGTTCATCTCATCGCGGCTTTTGAACCTTATTGTGGTGGCCTCTAACGTGATTATTTCTGCAGGGAGTACAAGGATAAAACTTGTCAACACTCAAATCATCATTAAAAATACGAAAGGACAATTTAAGGTAACCCCGCTCTCTATGTTAAAATGAGTGAAAAAGGTGTATGCGTTTAACGAAACAAATCACTGTATTCGTTTCTGCACACTGAATACTCAGGTATGTTCGCATCCGCAATATAACGTGAACTTCCGCTTGGGTGCAAAATTCAATGTAAGGTCTACCGTGAGTGTAGCAAAGTATCTGAAACATATCTTAGTCAAAACAGTTGAATGCTCGGCAAAGCAACAATTACTCTCAAAAGCCTTTAAAAGCTGTTGAATCGTAATGTGCAGTTGTTTCCAAGTCATAACTAATTATCACTCTCAGGTCTTTTTGTTTCTGCACGCGTGGAAACTATGTACCGTTGACGGTATGCTGGTAATCATTGCCCTGCCCAGTGTGGATTAGTGGGCTCTCTCTATACTTTGTCTAGAAACCTAAAATTCGGAATTATCTGTCTAAATCTGTTAGGAGATTACGATTACCAGGCTCATTACGTATTGCTCTTTGAACTTTGACACCATCTACAGACAACAATGTCGGTTGCTTGAGCAGTCTTGGTAATTCATTGACACAGAGAAGAGAAAACTGTGGACCTAAGATGTCACATTGGTGTACACCACTTTTAAATGGTTTCCATACATATAGTGTCCTAATAACAGGATCGGAGAGAAGAGGTGAGATACTTTAGTTGATGTTTGTGTTTACTACCCTCTGAGCCCGTTCTAACACGTGCGTTTCGCATTTAATACTAGAACTCTCCGCTTTACCCTCGTATTCTAAACGTGACGGGGGACAAAATTTAAAATGTATTATTATCTAGGCTTAAAATAGCTTTAAAAGGTTCCCATGAAATCTGTAAGTCTCAAGCACCTGCTGTTTTGTTATCATCAATGAAAACGAGACCACAGTTTGCTGCGACTCTTAAATCCTTACAGTTATGTGAATGGATTTGATTTCTAATGTAATTATGCAAACGTTGTGCATCACAGTACTTGTGATATTACTTGCTTTCAACCACCACCAAATCGTCCACTCACCCAGAGGGCTCAAATCAACTTGTAACCCTATTTTATCATTGTTGTATTCTACGACTCGCAGGTGTAAACCACTAATAGCTTGCCTCGGTCTTCGAGTTTTACTTAGTACGGACCTTGGGTTATTGTAAAGGACACTGAGAGACAAAGTCACCTTTATAGTTTTGTAGGAGTTTCTGCCTTAGATTGCTAAATCATCATAATACTTCACTTAATGTGAACGCATCCAATGTATTGTGCAGTAGAACTTCACTTGACTTGTAATATGATATTACTATTCTTACCGTGCCTGTTTCTCCATGCTCCAATTTTTTATACAAAGTCAAAGAACATGACTTTATCCCAGCAGATAAATTATTCACATACGCTTAGACTAAGGTAGGACTCAATATCGTCTATTTTACTTATAGCATTGACATAATCCTCAGTATCATTCTCTGGTGATGCTAATTAATTTGATGTATAATCTGTGGTTGTCCAATATTTTCTTCTGTGAATAAGATGTATCTACTAGTATGAGCATTCTTTCCGTTTCAATTGATTGAGTTAACACTTGATTTGAGTTTTTAAACCGATGTCTAATCACATTCTTGAGGTATTGAGCTATGATGAAAATATTTCAGATCCTAACAATGCATCAATAAATATTTTTCTGACTGCTGTGGATAAAATATTCACTGATCGTCATGTAATAGAGTGGTTACATGCATGTATAAAGTACAGTTGATGACCGAACTTCTATTTTGTCGGAATACATATACAAACTTCGACTAAATTACGGTTAGTTAAAATATATCGAATGACTTTAGGTACACCGACTACAGCCAAAGTTAAATGTACACTTAACGCAAAGAATTTAATGACTGTTGGTAATATCTGTCTCAAGGTTCCAATATTTTATTTGTGACAAACCAAAAAATCCCCACAATCTTACAGGAACACTCATCTGAGGATTCCATATTAAGGTTGAATTTATGTTCCTATACATTGCCATTTTTTGATTAAAATTTGATTCATTACCATCCTTTCGCTTTATTCTATCTTTGTTTGCCACTGATAAATCCAATTTAGTCGTCTTAACGATGTTGTCTCCACAAAAATAGAAATCTAGTAATGAAATTACTGTATTCTCGACTGTCTATCCCGAGACATTAGTCCAAGTTCTAAAATTCGACCATAGAATAATCTTTAAAACTATGAAACTGAAGGCAGCTTGTAGGGTTACGAGTAACTTATCATCAGTTTTCGATCCCTTTAAAATAACAACGCAGGGCAGTTGTTTGTTTATTTCACCTATTCAAAAACTTTATATATATATATATATATATATATATATATATATAATTTCGTTTTACTTTGTCACTAAACGTTTTAGCTGAGTGAAGCACTAAAATAGGTTTCACAAGTAGCAGCGAGTGGATTTGAACTTTAAAACAGCAGGCTCTTGTGCATTTATGTCTTCAGTATCATATTTTAAACTTTTGTCAAAGCGAATTTGAAAATAACTACGACATATTTCATCGAAGACTGTAGACACTAAATTATCGAGACACCTTAGTAATTATATGATATTATCGACTTTGTTGTCGTTTCAGAAATGCCTCTTATTTTGATAAGTTTCTATGTTTCTTTGCTTATACTTAACTTAAAGTGAATAATTATCTTTGATAAAGTACTGTTTTTTCAAATGTTTTTGTTGTTGATTGGACTGAGCTTTTAAACTGCGAATTCATTACTTTGTTGTATCTTCTTTTTGTTTTTATCTGTAAAGGAAATAAATCACGCTTTCCCAATGCCTATTTAAAACTTTTTAAGTCAAATGTACCAGAAACGCTCGTTAGTGTTCATCTAAACCAGCAGTCAGTAATTTGTGATGCGAAGGTAAGTTATTGGGCACACAAATAATCTATTCTCTCATCATTCATACTAAGTTGTCCTAAAATATAGGGCATATTGTGAACAGGCAATCTATGTATTATGTTCTTTTGTTGCTGGAGTTAAGTGGCATGCAATACGACACAAGTTTTTCCAGTCTTTAGGGATACATTTATGATTATGATAAAGAAAAATCGTCAATAGTTGGAAAATAGGAATAATTAGTAACACTTTCGAGATAAACAAACTAAAATATCTAGAATCGTATCAACTCTAGTATTAACGGAAATATAACGAATCACTGGATCTATGCCATAAAGAATATTCTCAACTTCCTTCACGAATTCTTAATGATAGATAGTGTTTATTTAGGTTAGTTAAACTACCTCGTGTTCACCTGCCTTTATGTTTTAAGCTTTCTGTTTCTTTGTCACAGTTTTGTCTCCCATTTATGGAAAGGACTAACTAAATCAAAAACAACAAATCGCCTTTTTTTAAAAAGAAACTCCGCTTTGTTACGAAGCGGTTTAAACGTATAAGGGTGTCATAGTTAATAAGGGCTGATGTATCTGTTGACTAAAAGGTACACGTCCAGGCTTTTGAACACTAACTCAGTATAACTTCACTTAAAATCCTTTGACTTGACACATACGCTTCCCAAAACACCTGAAAGTAAATTATTTCATTTGATGTTAGATTGAACAAAAGAAGAAACAAAGTTAACACGAAATGAAAACTGTCTCTAGTGATCATAAAAATGCCAAATAAACTTTATAGTCTAGTGGAGTATTTGAATCTCCCTATATTTGACTAATGGCTTGTCCAGTTGACCTTGACCTGATTGTTTATTTTTAATCACCAACCCATCATTATCTGCCTCTTTATTTGGATTGTATCTCTCTTTGACCTGATTCTTGACCCTATATTTGTCCATGATTTTTCTGATTGGTTGATAGATCGAATTGATTTCGATCTATTTGTTGACTGCTCATTGACCTAAGTGACAAGCTTTTAAAAATTCCCCGGTGGTCACAACATTCCCCCTACCCAAGATTCCAATATTTCCCCAGTCGAATATGCACTTACGATTCTCTACATGCTTTGATGTAAGCGAAGATGTTTTCTGGCTTTTGACCACTAGATGATGTTCATGCAGGTGAAGATGATTAGGGCGTTCACTTTGTCCAATGTAGAGTTTGAAACAGTTTATTGTGAATGATGTTAGGTTTTCTCCCTTCATCACTTTATACTTTGATTTAGACAAGATTGATCAAATAGATTTTGCCAGTTTATGTGTTATATCTGTTCTAAATGGCTTCAATAATCTCGTCATTTGTCTTTCAAATGTGGTAGAACTATTCTTGTTTTGACTTCTGTTTTTGACTTCATTTTTACCGGTTGGTTGGATTTATATTTTTTGGCTAAGCTGAGTGAATAGCTGTTCTTTCTCTCATTCTTCTTCACTGTAGTATCCTGCGGTGTATTCTTTCTTTTTTGAATAAAGTTTGTACGTAGTTGATATGGTAAAGTTTATGCTTATGGTGTTGTTCAGAAAACAATTTCAGCTTCACAACTCAGCTATCTAGCTCGAAAAACGAAACTTTACAAAAATTGTCTACCTGAACAACAAATCTTTTTCACCACCTCAAAAACAGGTGCCTTTATTCTAAAAAAACTGTATGGACAAAGTTGCAAGCTGCCTAATTTTTTAGACCTCAGAGAACTTATTTGACATTTTTATGGACTTCGTTTTCAGCCGACTTACTTTCCTGATTAAAGTTCTAAACGTCCTATCACTAGAAATCTGTGCTTTTTTGCTGATCGAGATGTGCTGTATGAACTGATAAACACGTGAACATAGTTCTACATTAGGGACTTTCTATAGTTGTTTGTTGTATGGGTTCATCCACTTGCACATCTTTTGCGTGTCTTGTGAAAAGACGTTTCGTAATTTTTGGTTGAACAAAAATGTCTTACTTTGAGAACTTAGATACCTAAAAGCATGTCGTTCCATGATAATTAGAAGTATTCAGATTGATGAGCACACTAAGAATTCCATGAATAGTGCAATTTAAAGTAGGTGGAACAGGATTAGCACAGTTAGACGTATTAGGCTCGTAATTCGTATTAAATGCTCAATCAAGTACAAAGAAATCACCAGTTATTACAATACTACATTCTGGTAAAATAAATGATTTTCAAAGCAGGTACACGATTATTTGATAAACTACGCGAAAAATGTCAATTTGGTGATTTCGTAACAAAATTGAAATGTTAAACAACATAAATCGCTAAGGAATAGGTTTATTCAACCTATCCGGAGTTATAGTGTGCCAGTTCATCCTCAGTTTGCCTATCGTATTTACCGAAACCTTTTAACAGACATATGTCATAAGTTAATTTCTATTTTTAATTTTTTGCTTTCGTAAAACACGTATCAAGTGTCGTAAACATATCTGTAGTTTCCATATTACATATAAATCAGATTGACCTTAACCCTTATACGTTATAAACTATGTTGTCCAAAAAATTTCGAACTCCCCATTCTATTCAAAGCCCATAAAATATCTATTTTCTGCATCCGACAGTGACTAAAGAACATAATCTTTATTGCTGTCTTATGTCTATTGATTATAAGAACTTTTTTTTGAGTTAGAAGTCTTTGAACAATAAATAATCCACCTGAATTCTTCATACTATTTAGACTGGTGCACGAAAATCTCCATTTGTTTCGAAGTTTGTGGACGAAATCCCAGTAAAAACAATGAAAGATGTTTTCGAATATGGCTTAAATACTTCAAGTAAATCCACTTATTATCGTTTGTTCCTCAAGAGTTTTGACTAGGATAATATATTTAGTGCGACCATAACTTACTAAAACTTTGTCACTGTTATGTTATTGATACACATTAGCAAGATGGTTTAGTCATGAAGCTCTAATCAGCTTTCTAGAAATCTTTACGAGAATCTTGAGACGAAAGATACCATTAATTATGTGTTCATATATATAAACTAGTTGTCCTCAAAACTGTCTATGAAGAATTTATTTATTCCTATAATTCTTACTTCGAATATTTTTTAAAATAGCAATAATTGATAGGGGTAACTGATTGCAGTCCTTCACTTCTTGTAGAACATAGGCTTTCTAGTTGAGCGTCCTAAGATCCCAGGAGAGTGGCTTTAAAATAGATAGGAGAGACGTTGCCCTTAAATCTTGGACATCCTATGTGTTCCCTGAACATTAACGTTTTTGTTATTTCGTGTCTAATTTCTTCGGAGTTGAAACTTCTGTTAAGTGAATCAATATCTGTATCCGAAATCTGAGTTCTACTTGAAAAGAACATCACACAACATTCGTTCACCACAGATGTGGAAACGCAAGCTCAGTAGGCTTAACCAAGACCTACATTTTCACCAACAAACATTTCTTCCATACAGTCAAACCTAAAAAACATTAATGATGATAAGTGAAATAAATGGACTCCTAAATTCATTTTCATTGCTTAGCATTCATCAGTCTTTGTTTAGTTTCATAAACTTTATTTATAGCCTTTCAAAAATGTTTTCATACGCTATATTTTTGTAATTGAAGTGAAAGATTTCGTGGACTTGAATTTTTATTATATCCGTTTTTAATATGATATTGAAATCCTCACTTATAGGGTTTTATCCATGTTTAAGAATACGACTTCCTTCCAAAAATAAATACTCGTGGCTTATTTACAATGAGGTAAGTGAATTTGGCTTACGCCTATGCTTTTCAGGTAGATAAGAAAATAAAAGCTATTGGGACAGCTCTAGTGAAAACTGTGAGACAAAGACGTAATGCTGAAAACTTTGTGGGAATTTACGGACCAAACTCACCCGAGGTAATTATAAATGTTGTTTGATTTCAAACTAGCTACTGGCCGGTCGTTAAATGTTATCTAACGTTAACTTATTTAGTCCTAGATACTGATAGGAATTTTATACTGAAATATGATTGGTCATTAGTGACCTTCGAGAAGTACCTGATAATTTGTGAATACTAAAACTTTGATGCTGTACAGTAAATCACTAGTCTTGTTCTTTTAAGCTGATTAGTTGAATATACCTAGTAAATTTATTCTACACATACGTCATTCTGTGTTTTTTCCCTCATCTATCAATGGCTATCGCAAAGGATAGAAGATTTTGATGTACAAAAAGCATGTAGCTGATATCAAATTTGTTCCTCGACATCAGTATCCTAAGTCTTATCCTCTTTTTCACTCAAAAAGTTCCAAATAAATAATACATTAACCAACGGAGTTATGTTCATGATTCTTAAACATTTTCTAATAATCATCTGACCTTTACTGCTCAATATCCCTACTAGTCTTTTATGATCAATAATAATTTTATTTTTAACTGATGAGTGTCAGTTGACATCAATAGAAAGAATAAAATTGGTCATTTTATAAGTTTTGATGCCAAGGTAGTCCTCACTTCTAATGATAATATAAAATAGAAGTTATCTTATTCGTATGTTTATGAATGGTTTTTCTTGCAGATCAATATGTGAATGCTTTTAAACCAGCATACAGTCGGTAACGGTTACAGAATCTACCACCATTATAGCTGTTACTTCCTAACAAATTTACTTCATTACTCCCTGGAATTAGGCAGAACACTGGTGTTTCTAACTTTAGGATGGATAATCTGAGAAAAAGTGAGGAAGTCTAGTGAACAAAGTACTTTCATTAATAGTTCATTTATTAATTACTGAAACAAAGTAGGGTGAAGTCTTTGAGTAGTATGACAATTGAACTGATTGGGCTATTTTGGGAGGTTTTATGTTATAAATTTGGTTTCTTCATCAAAACATGTAATACATTAGGCTTGTGATTTCCCTCTCTGAACGCTATTATATTGTTGTATTGCTTTATGGTCAAACTTGATAAAGAGGAAAAATTGCCAAGGCTTTTTGTGCTTTTGTATAGAAGTGTATTTAAATTAAATCAAATGTATGAGATTTTTCAGTAGTTTGATTAGACTTAAAATTTTCTATGCTGAACGTAAAGATATTAATGAGCAAAAAGTGTTCTAGAAGTGAAACCTTTGTACACAACAAAATCCGAATCTGTTATTTGGTTCCATAAAGATTCAAATATATCGTTTACCAATTACATATTTTGTTATGATCATTATTTCTTCTATTATCCAGTGGATTATTATGCAACATGCATGCGCTGCATATGGTTATACTATTGTGCCCATCTATCCTACATTTGGTAGTGAAGCAATACAACATATCTTATCTCAAAGTGAGTTTCTTCATCATTTCACTGTGTTAATTTTCACTTTTTGTTTGACAATATTTTTTCCATGCTAAGTATTGTGTATTTATATGAGTAAGTTTTACATTAGCTTTTCTATGTCTCAAGATCACTATAGAAGCCAAAGGGACTATGGTAATATTCAGTAGGACTAAAGGATGATCAAATAACATAGAGATACTTAGGCATCGGCTACATGTTTAGCTGTTTTGAATATCTAACAATAATCTAATAATCATCAGTTTAATATTTTAATCTTTATTAATTATCGGAGGAAACATTTCTGATTGAGTACCGTGTTACACTTCATACTGTTTGCTAGCTTACTGACTCCAAACACTGATCTTAATAACTTCTGGAAATAAAATACATGGTATTCATTACGCACGAAATGAAACATCAAATAAATAAATAATTATTCTTTAAAGACGTGGTACGTCACTTTGAAATCTTCATGCTTATTTAAGTTAATGTTAACTGAAATTTCCCACACAAATTTCCTCACTGTAAAGTCACAAAAAAGAACGTGAACAATTCTATCATTTGTGATCAATCTTATTACAATTTGATTTTAGCACAAGTGAATTGTATGCTGTGTTATTCAGGAAATGAAGCTCTTCACCTTCTGGACAAGTTCGAGTCTTCTCTTGAATATTTAATCATTGTTTCATATGATGTTAAAGTTGAGGAAGTTAAGTCTCGTCACGGTTCCAAAGTCTTAGTGTACTTGTTCGAGGATTTCATGGTAAGTACACAAATAAAATACTCCTTTTACGAGTAGACATATAAATTTTCAAAACTAACGTTTCGTTGAACTTTTCTCTCAGTTTCTACGCCTACATCTAACTAACTCGTATTCTACCCATAAAAGTTAAAATAATCCTGTCCAATAACCTCAATACTTGTACAAATTACTCATAACATGGAAAACAAAATCCGTAGAATAATTTTAATTTATTGCTACTTATCAAAGTTTTTGTTTACTTACTTACTTACTTTAATTACGCCTGTTACCCCTCGTCGAGGAGCATAGGCCGCTCACCAGCATTCTCCATCCAACTCTGTCCTGAGCCTTCCTTTCCAGTTACTATTCAGCCTTTTCATATCGGCTTCTATTTCCCGGCGTAGTGTGTTCTTTGGCCTTCCTCTTTTCCGCTTCCCTTCCGGATTCCAAGTTAGGGATTGAGTCGTGATACACATTGGTGATTTCCTTAATGTATGTCCGATCCACTTCCAACGTCTTTTCCTAATTTCCTCTTCAGCTGGAAGCTGGTTTGTACTCTCCCATAAAACGCTGTTGCTGATAGTATCCGGCCAATGGATGTTGAGTATTTTGCGTAGACAACTATTTATAAATACTTGTACCTTCCTGATGATTGTCGTAGTAGTTCTCCACGTTTCAGCTCCATACAGTAGGACTGTCTTGACGTTCGTATTAAAGATTCTGACCTTGAAATTGGTTGAGAGTTGTTTTTAGTTCCATATGTTCTTCAATTGTGGGAATGCTGCCCTTGTTTTGCCAATCCCGGCCTTTACATCTGCATCCGATCCTCCTTGTTTATCAACGATGCTCCCCAGGTACTTGAATGTTTCCACCTCTACCAGAGTTTCGCCATCAAGTGTGATTGGGTTGGTGTTCTCCGTGTTGCATTTGAGAATCTTGCGTTTTCCTTTGTGAATGTTGAGGCCTATTGGTGCACAGGCTGCTGCTGCATTAGTTGTCTTCTTCTGTATTTGTTCGTGTGTATGGGATAGGAGGGCTAGGTCATCTGCGAAGTCCAAATCATCTAATTGATTCTGAGCTGTCCATTGTATTCCGTATTTCCCGTCAGATGTCGAATTCTTCATAGTCCAGTCAATCACTAGAAGGAAGAGGAATGGGGAGAGTAGACAGCCTTGTCTGACTCCGTTCCTTACTGGAAATGCATCTGTCAGCTGTCCTCCATGCACCACTTTGCACTGTAGTCCATCGTATGAGTTTTGGATAATGTTGACAATCTTCTCAGGTACTCCATAGTGTCGAAGAAGTTTCCATAATGTTCTCCTGTCCACGCTGTCAAACGCCTTCTCATAGTCAATGAAGTTGACGTATAGTGATGAGTTCCACTCAACTGATTGTTCAACGATGATCCGTAGTGTCGTAATCTGGCCTGTGCACGACGCATCCTTGCGGAATCCAGCCTGTTGGTCCCTAAGTTCGGCGTCTACTGCGTCTTTCATCTGATTCAGCAGCACTCTGTTGAAAACTTTTCCTGGTACTGATAACAAACTGATGCCTCTGTAGTTTTCACATTTGCTCAGATCTCCTTTCTTTGGTATCTTATGAGATATCCTTCTTTCCAGTCCGTTGGCACTTGTTCCTCTTCCCAAATCTTCTTGAATAGAAGGTGAAGCATGTTTGCAGTTATTTCAATGTCTGACTTCAGTGCTTCTGCTGGTATATTGTCAGGTCCTGCCGCCTTCCCACTTTTGATTTGTCTGGTGGCCATCTTGACTTCTTCGATCGTTGGTGGAGTGACATCTATTGGAAGGTCAGTGTGTGCTGCTTCAATGTTCGGTGGGTTCAATAGGGCTGGTTTATTTAGCAGTTCCTCGAAGTATTCTGCCCATCTTTTCCTCTGTTCTTAAATCTCAGTGATTGTCTTGCCTTCTTTGTCCTTGACTGGTCTCTCTGGTTTGCTATATCTTCCTGCCAATTTCTTCGTTGTATCATATAGTTGTCTCATATTCCCTTCTCTTGCAGCTTTTTCCTCCGTCGTTGCTAGTTCTCCCATGTATTTCTGCTTTTCGGCTTTAATGCTTTTCTTCACTTCCCTGTTTGCTTCTGCGTAGTCTGCTTGTGCTTTGACTTTCTCCGCTCGTGTTCGGCTGTTGATAATTGCTAGTTTCTTGTTCTTCCTTTCTTGAATTTTGGTCAGGGTTCCCATAGAGATCCATTCCTTGTGGTGATGCTTCTTAGGACCAAGAACCTCCTGACACGTTGAAGTTAGTGCTTCTTTTATCCCTTTCCAGTTGTTCTCCAAAGTAGTTTCTTGTTCAATCAGTAGATCCTGTAGAGCTTGGAACCTGTTGTTGAGAGTTATCTTGAATTCATGGAGCTTGTCAGTATCTCGAAGGAAGGCTGTATTGAACCTTTGTAGTGCTGTTTGTCCATTTGTCCGGTGTTTCTTTAGCTTCAGTCTAATCTTGGCCACAACCAGGTGGTGATCTGAAGCTATGTCAGCTCCTCTCCTGGTTCTCACATCTTCCATTGATCTTCGGAATTTTTTGTTGATACAGATGTGATCTATCTGGTTCTCTGTGGTGTGGTCCGGCGAGATCCATGTAGCTTTGTGTATGCGTTTGTGTGAGAATATTGTGCCGCCTATAACCAATTTGCATATAATTCCCATTTAAACATTAAAATTAAAAACACGAAGTTCAGCGAAGGGATCTCTTTTCAACGAATTTATTATCAAGCTGTACAATCGTATATATATATATGAAAAAGTTTTGTTAAAGTACTAATTCCGTGAGGAAATGTGAACACTAATAACCAAGATTATACTACTAGATTACGTAATACGAATAATAACAATAGATTTAGTGAATAGAATAAGATGATTAAAATGTTTTGGTTACAATAATTAAAGGTCATTAAAGGTCATAGAGGTGTAAAATAAATAAGGTGATGTGATGAGTATTCATGAATGAAATAATGCGAATATAAAACATAAGTAACGGGGGAATGGAGTAATAATAATAATAATAATAAGGCCATGGTAACGATAATGATAAAACGTACTTCTTTTGTACGCATAGTTCTGGTTTGAGCTCGTGGATGGTATGATCTTCGGCTATTTTTCAGAGTTTGATGCGCAGAAATCTTGGTAGATTTAAACGAATCATATAAACAACCTTCAAATCAGACTGTGGATTCGTCGAATGATTACAGTCGATTAAGTGTTCAAGTATAGAACTTCTAACTGTTTTCCTTTCACCATTGTAGAACCAAACTGGTATATGTTCTCGTATCCGAAATGAAAGCGAGCGTTGGCTACGGCCGATGTACCTTGCTCCACAAGAGCAGGTGAACTGGTAGATGTACATAGAGGCGACCGAACGCGGGAGCTTATCTTTTATGGATACAGAAAATAAGTTCTTACTAGTGAAGGTTATTCGTAGTTAAGCAGCGTTAAATGTTCTTTTAATCGTTGTTGTTAAACGATTTTTAATTATGTCTGATGTTCGATCACCTTTAAATTCCAGACTTATATAAAGGCTTTTCTTTGGGACTGAATAACTAGGATTCCTATCGACGCTACTACTATTCGTATTCTTTTATATGAATCGGTCTGGGTAGCCATCCTATTCTAGCCATCTTATTCTATTCACTAAATCTATTGTTATTATTCGTATTACGTAATCTAGTATTATAATCTTGGTTATTAGTGTTCACATTTCCTCACGGAATTAGTACTTTACAAAATTTTTTCATATATATATATACACGATTGTACAGCTTGATAATAAATTCGTTGAAAAGAGATCCCTTCGTATAACCAATTTGTTGAATCCACATAGGTTTGCAAGTCTCTCCCCATTTTCATTTCTCTCTCCTAGTCCATGTCGTCCAATTACATCTTCATATCCTGTGTTGTCCACTCCAACTTTAGCATTTAGATCTCCCATCAGGATGGTGAGGTCCTTTCTTGGGCACTTAGCTATGATTGATTGCAGCCTCGAGTAGAAATGATCTTTATCTTCGCCGTTGTTATCATTGATGGGTGCATAACATTGGATAAAGTTCATTGTGATCCCCTCCTTCTTTGTTCTGAATGATGCTTTGATTATCCTGGATCCGTCAGATTCCCATCCTACAAAATGCATTTCGTGCTTCTCTGGACAGCATTAAAGCAACTTTCTGAGTGTGTGGAACATTTTCCCCTACGTGACCGGAGTACAGCAGCATCTCTCCTGTACCTAGCCTTTGCTGTCCAGCTTCCGTCCAATGGGTTTCGCTGATTCTGAGTAATGCCAAGTTGCATCTCCTCATTTCCATTGCTATTTGGCTGGTCTTTCCTGTCTCCCACATTGTCCGGACGTTCCATGTACCTATAAAGAGTGTTGCTTTGGTTGTTAGAAGGTGCATCGGTCTCGTGACTTCCGAAGAATTTCGGCTTTCATCATGAGACATCATAATTATTCCTTCAACTCCCAGGGCAGAGTTTAAATGGTTTGAATTATTTTTTTCTGGTTAGCGTCTTTTAGCGAGTTAGCTTTTCTACGGGATGGGGTCGCTAACCCCATGCCCAACCCTCCTCCTTTACCCGGGCTTGGAACCGGCAGTAACTCTAGAAGAGCTACAGGCGGAGTTAAAGTTTGATTTGAAGATATTATGAGTTCCTACTAGGGTTGGTTTTACTACTGGTCTTGTTTCATCAACCTTTTCACATGTATAATTTTTGCATCCCAATCCCCTATCTATCTTAATATCCAATGGTCTGTGAAGTGGAATTATGTTTGAAGAAAGGTGTAAACTTCCTAAATGAAGTGTTACAATTATTTCGAATCCTTTCCTAATCTTGAAAATTTGATTCCTGTTGTCCTGTTTGCTGACCTCACTTTTGCGTTCTATTTTAATGCAAAAAGGATCGAATTGGTGCTCAAGATGCACCCTTAATGTATAAATACCTTTCTTCACAGTACCTCTCAATGAAAAAATCAGAAAAAGAAACCCTTTAACCTTAACTACGTTTCCAAAAAAGTAATATAGTTTTATGAAATTATATTTATCTAGTTAGTTCATTATGCTCTCGATTAGTCAAGCTAACACATATGGCGATGAGATAAATTATCCAGTTTGATGTAAGTAATCTAATTCGATCATTTGATTCTTACCTACAAACTTAATAACAGTGTGATTTCTGATTATTCTTCAGTGTTTTTTTTATCTTAACCACTATAATATCGAGGGGTTCATTAGTGAAGACTCTAAAATTACTCAGTAGTCTTCAAGTGCTTCATTTGCTCATATGGAAATCATTCGGTTATTCAAAACTGTAACTATCACTTGAAACACATCTCTCGTAAGTGGTTAACGTCAAGATTACTGGAAGTTCCATTAAACACCCACGTATAAAATGAGAATAAATTCCTAGTTTTCACTTAAGAGGATACTCACCACTTCAAAACGAACTGAATTTATTCAAGAATTTCTCAATTTATATGACTTTTTCGTGATGTGACATCAATTTCATTCATACCACTTCAAGTTTTATTAGTCTTTATATTGACCATACAAAGTTTACGATTTCTGTTAAAACTAATTATACCCTTTAATTAATAGTCGCATTACAGAATAATGACCGAACATTTTGCATTATTTTACTTCAGAATGACCATATACGTTCATTATTCAAAGGTTGTCTTTAGTAGAAACAATCAAAATTGTAATTAAAAAAATATAGATCTTGCAGAAACTAAGATCATTTTGCCAACACTCTATCGTCATATCATGTTTCAGGAACTGGGAATGAATAAACTTATACCAAAGAAAGTGAGTTTTCATATTTTATTAACTCATTCATTTCAGGTCTGTGTCACTATCCCAATTATCGTGCAGTGTAGTCGAAAAATGAATGCCCTTGCTATGTTTTGTACTCGTACAGTATTTTGGGGATTTTTTGAGTTAAAAAATACCATATATTGTAGTATGATTTACAAATCCAAATTACTTTTCTTGATTTGAATTCAGAATATAAATTTCCGAATCTTGATTTTTGTCTGCTTACATGTCGACTAGTTTTATTTATTAAATTTCGGATAAATTCTTTTTGATTAGGGAATGTATTTATAAGTCAGATATGGGAAATTGGCCTAATTTCTTTTGTCTTATTTATTTCTCGCTCAGAATGCAAATAGACCTGCATATCTTGATACTTTGTTTTAATGGAAAAGTAAAACACTAACGCAACTTTATATATATTTTTTCATCTTGATCATTATTCCACAGAAAAACACGTAAAAGCTCAGATTAAAATTATTTGAAAACCTATGGTAATAGAATCCTGTTATTAAGGTTGATTGGGTAAATGAAATTAATTTTGGTGAAGGCATGCCTGAGCCTGAAGTTATATATATAACTTTATAATGGGCTGTGGGAAAAGTGATGACGGATTAATAAATGTCTTTTGTCTATAAATCTTTTAAATAGTTGATTTTGTCGATCTCTGTCTTCACTGTTCATACCAATAGTAATTCCACAGTAAACATATTCAATCAAAAAGTTTTGCTGAGAATTATATCATGCCTAGAAATCTTTTGGTACTAACACATTTTAGTGCTTTAGTCTGCTCAACTTATGAAGTTTTATCACTGCTTGCTATAATCTCTTATTTTTACTTTATTAGTATAACTGATTTGTTATATAGCTTTTCAACCGATTTTAAATGTTAGGAGAAAGATTCTTGAAAAATTAATTAATTATTCTTGAAAAATGTTAATTTGTTGAAGCATTTGCTTTCAAATATTGTTCACATGAATGTTATGAATTCTAAAAATTACCTTATCATTTAGTCTTATCATCTATCGTATTATCTGATAAAGGTTTGAGTTCCAGATGTTTATGAATATATTTATGAAACTGATTGACGTATTTTAAACACCAACAACAAACCGATTTTAACCTGCTTAGAAATTCATTGGTTAAACTGACTAATATAGTGAATATAAATGTTCATGTTATTCCAGATTGTTCAGTCTTAATATAAACGGCTAAAATACATAATTTATGTGGTTATAATGTTCCTTTTAAAATGTTTTTTTTTCTTGCCAGTCACTGATTAGGCTGTCTTTGCTCAAATCAAGTTTTCGTATTGAAAGGGTTTCTTAATTAATTTTTTATTTTAAAGGATCCATTGCCGTCTGACCTGTACATGATTTGCTATACTAGTGGAAGTACGGGTAAGCGTTAGTTTCACTTAAGCATTCATGCTGTTTGGACGTATTTCAATGAGAACATAACCTTTTTTCTTCTACTGATTACGAAGGAAATAATTTCATGACAACTCCGCTAACCACAGATCTTTGTTCGTATACTGACATATGAATTATAGTTTAGTCTACAGTTATAGCGAATTAGGAAACTCGTTACCGATAAATTTCTGTTCTACTAATGTCCTACATTATTGTTACATGATATGGTGAATCATTATTCCGTCCTTTTTCTGTAATTCTTCAGCCAGAGTACTTCAGCCCAAATCAAATAAATAAATTTACTCAACATATATTCCAAAATAAAAGCCAGATTACGTATGCAAAAATAAAAACAAAATCACTTATTCCAGAAACGCATAGATATCTATTATACGGGATCGATTGTTAACAACTTTGTCATCTGTAAATGTTAATGATCGCTGACATGTTGAATAAGAACAAATCACCTCGTACAAACCATGTTCTTAGGAACATGTGAGGCTGGTATGTTAAAAGTCAAATTTACTATTATTTCTTTGGCTGGAGGTTTTAAAAGTTGATGGAATCAGTATTTGTGGTACATATATATTTATTATGTGTGGTAAAATAATCTTTGTATTCTGGTTGCTAGGCAGAAGTAATTTTTATCCATTATTTCTTGTAATTTGCAAACTAACCTTTTGTCAACTTATTTTTGTGTGTAGGATTACCTAAAGGAGTTATGGTTAACCATGAACAGATTGTAGATGCTGTATTTTCTATACTAGAAGCTTCAGAAAACAAAGTAAACTTATGCCATTTATGCTTCGTTGGAGTTCAAGAGCGAATATTTATCACGTAAAGTTTCCAATCCTTATATCAGTAAAAAATATTTTTTAACAGTGAACGTAATTTTTTCTAACCACACAGCAACATACTTCCAGTGTTTCGATTCCAATCCTTATTGTTTACTCCTATTTCTTATATTATATTTATGACATTGGCATTTGAAACGTTTAAACTTTCATTCAACAGACTACCTTCGTATTTCGTGAAGCCTTTACCATTCTAAAAACACGTGACGAATGTTTTTCTTTTTGCCTAGTAGCGGTAACTGAAAAATTAAAAATTTCGCATTATTTAAGTACGCGTTAAATTATACGGTTTGATATTTGTTTGACGGTTGACTGTTTGTTTTGTCTTCTGTCCTAGCTCATCAAATCCAATTCTAGCCATCTTTCATATATCCCATTGGCGCATATGATGGAACAAGTAATCTCGGTAAGCTTTCTTCGTTAATTTCCGATATTATTATTATTATGCGTTTTTGTATATTAACAATCAAGTATATCAATTATATTTCTTAGTTATAAATCCTTTCGATCTACGAACTGTATAAAAAATCAACAAAGAAACGAATGAAAATTGATTATCTTGGTAATTTTGTTCAGAAATGTATCTTCACAACCATGAATAAAGCTAAACAATCTACTATTTATAGGAATTTCTGTGTGTTAGGCTAATTTCGAGAGATTTTTTCACTAGTAAACCCTCAGAGTTTGGTTGTGAAGAGAAACTTTATGCATGCTGATTTTCAAAGCAAGAAATGGTGGCGATTAGTTAGCTTCTCGTGAGGTCACAGATTCACATTTCCAAGTAATTTCAAACTCAGTCTAACGTCCATCCAGTGCTTCCTAGTTTTCATTGATTAGCCAGGTGATAATTGCCCGTGATGTAAACTGTAAAGTAAGCAAAACTCCGTAAACAGTTTGTCGAATTAGAAGATAAGACTTCATCTAAAATAAAGGATTTTATGACCACTATGTTAAATAGAGCTATGATATAGCATGTGCTTGATAATTTGAGACTGTTCTTGATTGTTGGACTCAAACAGTTTTATTTAAATTCGAATATTGTGAATCAATATTATTTTCTAATAACCACTGACTCCGTTTTTAAGTGGAGTAATTCAGACTACAATCATCTCATACAGTTTGAATGTAACTCTCTTACGACAAGGACTAATGCTTCTTTAAGTATGTCTCAGCACTTTTCTATAGAGTCGAAAACAATAATTTAAATTTTTGGAACAAAACATATGCTGGGGCTAATCACTGGTTTACTTTGTTTACAATCTTAACTTTTTTATAGTTTCACTGACCAATTTTATCGATATATTTTTCTTCTCAAAAGATTATCTCTATTTCTTGTAGTCTTATTATATTATGATGGGAGCCCGTCTGGGATTTCTAACTGATTCTATTGAGAATCTGATGGTAGACGCACAAGCTTTGAAACCAGGTGTGATAACGGCAGTTCCACGAGTACTTTCTAATATATACACTAAATATCAGAAATCATTGGATGATTCCAAAATCAAAAGACAACTTTACAATCGCATTGTGAAGATAAAAATGGCTGAACAAAAACGGTATATGGTCTTCATTAAAACTTTATCATTGAATTACATTCCATAACTTTAAAAAAGAATCCGAAGCATTTTCCACAGTCCAACGCGTATCAAAACACATTGTGTGATTTGAAACGTTAAAGCCTAGAACTAATCAAAACAGTCTGTTGAGATAATCCGGATAAGGTGGAAAGTGATCAGTTAATGAAAAGTCAAGTTCAAAAAAAGTACAAACTGAGCTTGGACTTTAAACAAATATAACATCTTTATTAAGAAAATTCAATTAACTCCTAATATGTGAATAATAAATGACAAGTAATTTCATTTGCAAACCATGTTAAATAATAAAGTGAAAACAGATAAATTAAAACACCTGATAGGTTCACTTTGAAAACTGAAGTGATAAACTGTTTCGGATATCGCATATTTAAACTGATATCAGTTAGTAAACGAAGTGATTTCAAATTGTATTTTCAGTTAGAAATGCATACCTGATATTTTTGCTTCAGTCAGTTTGTACCCTTACATTAAAAAGCAAATTGTTGCATATTATTCAATTCTTCTTTCTAGGTGGTGTAATTCTATTTATTATATTGACCAGTTATGAAAATAACTTACAAACAGAACTGTCCTCTATCATCCTACGTCAACCTATAAATTGGTTTCCCTTTGACTAAGTCCTTAAAATCACCATAATAGTTACCACCATTTGGAAACACTCTTTGCTTCGCATACTCGAAGCTAAAGGGATAAGTAGTGTGAGATGTTTCTGTTTAGTGTATAAAAAGAATGGATATAGAGCAACTGATTTCTGATTAACTAGGACACAAACAAAGGAGTCAAAATTGTATCAATCTTACTTAGAAACTAAACATTGGATTTATAGTATGAAGTAAAGAAATGTAATGGGAGAAGAAAGAATTAAAAGGAATATGAAAACTCAAGAACCCATAGATTTTCTCCAATACGACTAAATTTCAATCTTAGCACTTCAAATCCTTTTGTTTTTATAGGTCATATCTATTTAGCTGGTAACGATAAGCTTGCCATAGATTACTCAAATCCAAACATCAGTTTATGCCTAAAGCTTTGCATCCTATCTTTCAGTATATAGAGTTGCCTATATTATTAAAATCGTTGAGAATCTCCTGTTAAACTAGCTGAAACTTTCAATATAAGTCTAACTTAAAAACATTTATTCGACATGTCAGTTAAATACAATTGTTAAACCGGCTACAAAAAGCGAAGAAATGAATGAATATTTAGGTCTTTTGTATAAGACATATCTCTTCCAAGTCGATTGAAGACTATCGCCACTGTTTTATGTCGGCAAATTACGTAGGTAGATACTAGCTTCGTTTGACAAAAATGCAGTAATTGAAATGCAGAAGCAGTCTAACTTTTTTTATCTAGTTGATATAGATGCTTTCCAAACAAAAAAATTCAAAATAATGATTTCACTTTATTAAACCTTTAACTAGTAATTTATTATTTATTTTCATTTTAGTGGAAAATTCTATCATCGTAGTATCTTGGATACGTTGTGCTTTAGGAAACTTAGAAAGTTATTAGGTGGACGTGTATATTGTGTTGTCAGCGGAGGCGCTCCACTGCCAACGGAGATATCAAAGTTTGTACATGCTGCATTTGGTTTGGTAAGCTAGTTTCTTTTCCCTCTGTTGTTGGAATGCTTCTTAAAAATGCAATATATATATAATTACTGAAATATTTGTAATGGCGATAATAAGCATTTTTGTAGTAGTTTAATCATTGATCATCAGTCTTCAATATAAATAGGATGTCCTCTTACTTTAGCTAACATTCACCTAACTGACCATTTTCATATGCATTTATCTCCATGGGGAAAGAAAAAATCATTTCAGTCAAAACACTTCTAAATTCACCTATAGACCTAACTTAACACATAAAATCAAATTAATCTTATCGAAACAATAAAATGAGGGGATTACCTAAAGTTAACTTGAGATTTAAGTGTACAAAAATATTCTAACTTCCCTATTTTCATCATTAAATTTAAACCAGTAGCGAAAATCTTATTAGGTCTAAAAGTCATTCTAATGTCAACTGTATTTCGAGTAAATTATTGAAAGATTTATTCATTCTAGAAGAGGCTGCTGATTTAAAATATCGTGTCCTTTGGCCATAAATCATGAATGAAGCTAACTACATATTAACTGCTTTCAGTGTTAAAATATTGAGATTGAAGTTCTGTGTAAAGCAGCAATTCAGCGACAGTAGTTATCAGAAATTTTATCAGACGTTATTTTTTATTGTTAAAGGACACTATCTGCTTTTTTTATTAGCTTATTACATTGCTTATAATCAATTAAACGGAATAAATAGTTCTATGATTTCCCTTTTTTCTGATCTAATTATTAACTTTCAATTCGAATTTTTGTTTAATATTTTTCCAACAAAAGCTTGCTGAGGGGTACGGATCAACAGAAACAATGGGGAGCATAGCTATTACTTTAGTTGGAGAGTACCGTCTAGGTACCGTAGGTTCTGTCGCACATGGTATAGAAGTGAAACTTGTCGATGTAAAAGATCTGGGTCTAGACGCACTGCGAGATCAAAGAGGAGAAGTAAGATACAAGTCATTATTAAAGTTATGTAATGTGTATCCTTTAAAATCTTGGTTCCGGTAAACTTTGACTATACTGTATGACTGATTACAGTGAATAACCAAACGATATAAACCATAGTTTTTTGACCAACTATTAACATAAACTGAGTGTTTGTTTTTTAAACATAGGTTTTGTTCATAGCTAACATTCAAAATCGAGAGAAAACATTTATAAACTTATCAACAGCCACATTTTCTTAGATTACATTTATGAAGAATAAAAATACATTTGCGATTGTGACCTTGAGAATACATAAATTCGTTCATTAGTACTCGACAAATCTAGCCAATAATCGGACGTGAGTGTTTTATTTAACATCATAAAGTAACTTACTTACTGTTATATCTGTGGCCGAGTGGATGACTAGTTGATGTGTGACGCGATAGAACCGCCAATTAGAGAGCAGCGAATTATCGGTTGGAACAGTGTCAGTCAGTCAGTCACAACGTAGAACTTCGTACGTACGTACGTCAGTTCGAGTTGCCATACCACATTAGCACAGAGATGCAGTTGTCGATTCAAATCCCATAGTGGTAGAAGTAGTAGGAGTATAATCAGAAATCCAAAAGATTAGGGTTTGAAGAAATTATTGAAGGAGTATAGTATAGTGAAATAAATTTGGAAAGAGAAAAAGGATAGAGACATGAAGAATTCAGAAGATTAGAATTTGGTTGAACACAAAGAGTGAATTCACCTTCGCCATTGCAAACGATTTTGAGCCATGTCATTCTAGGTCTCTAACCGTCAGGTGCTGTCATCTCGCGAATCCCAACCAGGTAGTCTACACCTACCAACATGGCCCAGTCCACTTGTCAGTGACTTCATGGATTTATGCCATGTTTTGGTCTGGCCACCCCTAGCTTTCTTCCAACCTGCTCCTACACCATAAAGCATTGCACGTCGGTGGTTGGGCATACGTAACACATGTCCCAGCCATCTCAACTAGTGAAGTTTCACTACTTCATCAATTGATTTGCCATCCTTACCTAGTACCCGTTTCCTAACATCTGCATTACTTACCCGGTGGTCCCAGGATATACGAGCAATGCTTCGAAGACACCTATGATCGAACACTAGTAGCCTACGAATATCCTCTACTCTTACCGGCCATGTTTCACTTCCATAAAGAAGGACGGAACGGACTGCTGCACAGTAAACCCGTCCTTTAGTTGCTAGACGGATGTCTCGCCTACGCCATAAATGACGCAAGTTGGCAAAAGCTAGACGAGCCTTCTGTATGCGTGCTGAGATTTCGTCACACACCAGACCACAAGGGCTGATGAGACTCCCAAGACAAGTGAAGCTGTCAACACACTCAACTACTTCACTCCCTATCATTAGTTCAGCTGTCGCTGCAACCCAATCCTGAAGTAACATTTTGCACTTCGAGGGAGAGAATCGCATCCCGAACATGCTTGCATTGTTGCTTATAGTGGTCAGAAGACTCTGCATGTTGTCAGCGTCTTCACCGAGTAAAACTATGTCGTCGGCGTATTCTAAGTCAACAAGTGAATCTCCCGGTAAAAGTTCAACTCCTGGAGGTTTAGCTGATGAAAGTTCTATCTCCAAAAGTATGTCAATGACAAAGTTAAACAAGAATGGGCAGAGTGGACAGCCCTGACGAACACCACTTGTGGTAATCAGTTCTGATGACAGTTCGCCATAGGCTCTAACTCGACCAGTTGTGTTCGAGTAGAGAGCCTTTATAAGGTTAATGTACTTCTTTGATACTCCTTTCACTGACAAACACTGCCATAGAACCTCACGATCAACGGAGTCAAATGCCGCCTTAAGGTCAAGAAATACTACTATTGTGGGACGTCTGAATTTGTGTCTATGTTCTAGGACCTGACGTAGGGTGAATATCTGGTCTATGCAACCACGTCCAGGTCGAAAACCAGCCTGGTTTTCTCTAGTCTGCTCTTCACGAGCTTTGGTTAGGCGACCTAGTATTATTGAAGCTAATATTTAAGACACTATATTAGTCAAACCGATCCCTCTGTGATTGTCACAGGAGGACTTTTGTCCTTTCTTATAGACTGGCACAATCAGTGATTGGGACCAGTCAGATGGAATTACGTCCAGTTCCCAGATTCTACCTAAGACCTCAGTCAATCTCACTGCTAGTACTGGACCGCCATCCTTAAAAATCTCAGGGGTCAACCTGTCAGGGCCTGCTGCTCTCCCTTGCTTCAGAATTCCTATAGCTTTTTCAACCTCGTAGAGAGTTGGAGGACTTACCTCAATTTGCCATTTAGGACGACTGGGGATCGTGGGTAACTGAAGTGTGGCTGAAGGCCAGTTGAACTGATCCCTAAAGTGTTCTGCCCATCGATCCAATCTCCTGGATTGAGAATGAATAATATGCCCATCTTTATCTGAGATGGTTTCACTGATATTCGGGTTCCTAATACCGGTTTCTTTAACGAGTCTGAATAGCTGCCTACTGTTACCTATTGCCGCTGCCTTTTCCATCTCTCTTGCTTTCGCTACCCACCACTGTTCACGTTCATTGCGTAGGCTTCTTATTAGCCTTCGCTTGAGCTGACTCCGCTCTTCGTTATGTTCAGAGCCATGAGTTTTCGAGCATCTATCAGTGCGGTAGATGCTGCCGAGATCCATTGTTTCTCCCTGACCTTATGGCTTACCTTACTAGCGGATATCACAGCTGTTTCCACAGCTTTTCGGATGTCATTCCACGCTGCCTCGGGGTGGACACAACTTACATGTCTGCCTAACTGTTTTTCTAGTTGTTCCTGAAATATATTCTTAGCTTGCCTATCATTAAGTAGAACCCTTAGAGGCTTCCCTGCAGTGTCTTTCCTACGACCAGTAAGACGCAGACAGATACCTGCTCGCACTAGAGCATGATCTGAGTCTAAACATGTGCTCCAGAATGAGCGACAGTCTTCTATCGAGCCCTCCATCGGTGGCTGATAGCGATGTGATCTAATTGGGTCCAAGGTTGGGACGAATTCGGGGGTCGCCATGTCAAAAGATGTTTTTCCTTATGCTTAAAGTTAGTATTTGCAAGAAATAGGCGGTTATCTGAGCATAGCTGCAACAGACGGTCGCCATTATCTGTTCTTTCCGCCATAAGATCCACCCAGGTGTCTTTCCCTTTCACTTAGTTTACCTACTTGAGCATTAAAGTCACCTGCTACTATTATTACATCAGGACGCCTAGCTTTTCGGAGAAGGTCAGAAAGTTTCCTGTAGAACTCATGTTTTATATCGTCTGAGCTGCAGTCAGTGGGAGAGTAGGCAGAGACGACGAAGAGACAACGACGAGTTTCCTTATCTTTCCAAGTCCTTACTGATCCGTTTAGTCGGACAGCGCATAGATGACTGTCTACTGGGATCCAGTCTAAAAGAGCTAGTTTTGCCCTAGGACTTAATGCTATACCTACTCCAGCGAGGCCACGGGAAGCAGCATCAGGGCTTCCGGATACACGAAGCGTGTATCGAGATGAATCTTTATTTTGATTAGGTGCGGTCAAATGAATGACACTACTCGGATCTTGTATGCGCGTTTCGGAGACATACATCGATGGTGTAAGATTCTAGAGTCCTAGCTAAGGAAGCCTGTTGTCTTATTTGGCACAATGTTCGGACATTAAAAGTTCCTACATGTAGTTTAGAGCGTGGTTTCAGGAGACCAGGAATAAAGTTCCATGTACTCGAATCGTTTGCCGTAGCGGTGCGAGGTGATAAAAGGACGTGGGAAGGGTTAGTCGTGGAGATAACAGAGTTATTAGGTGTAGGAAGGATTTGAAAGCGACCAACTTGGTCTCGTGTGCAGTTAAGGGTATGAGGGCATTTATCACTTCCCGGCTGCCCACACCGTGGAAGGGTATTTCTTGAGGGACCTGAAAAAGAAGTTGGATTAGTGTTGGTCTGAACGACCTGGGAGCGTGACCGCAGTGCCCAAGGGACAACTGCTTGAGGCCGGTCACGCACGGCCTTTTTGTTGGGGAATTTTGACGTGTTAGCTCCGTTCTTCAAAAGTCCTTACCGCCGGAGACGGAAATCCGTGGGATAAGGCGAAGTGTGCATTTTTAGGGTCGACCTTTTCTAACCCCACCCTTCCTTGTGGGAAGGCAGCATCGCTGCAGCTGCTGGTTGTCTGAAGGAAGCACCTTACTGCTCTCACACCTCTGTACGGTCGGCAGTACGACTTCGCCTTCGGACCTTGGGATTGCTGCTTTTAGTCTTACCGCTCTTCAACCGACCTGTCTGGCATGGTAGGACCTTGAGGAACGATTGTTCCAGCCAGCATAGCTCGATTGGATCATCACGATAGGCAAACCCGACCACCACGTCAAGGTAGCAGCAACGGTCGGGTTGGAACAGTGGCACGAAACCCGTACGAGCAGACTAGAGTGCTAACCGGCCCTGCGATCTGCTTAGCCCAGCCAATTAAGTCCAAAACACCAATAACAGCCTCAGTGGTATGAATCATTATTTACAAACATACTGAGTTTTATTCAAACCAAAGTAATCAATAACTGAGTATAACTCAGGAATCGTATGATAATAAATCAAAGATCAAAATAAAGCTCATGATAAGAGAAACACGAATATGAATAGTTAAGTTACGTAACAATTGTACAATAGGAAATAGGCATAATACATTGGTCGATATATAGACCTAAAAGTTAACATTCGTAATTCACCGGGGGATATAACACTTACTTACTTACTTACGCCTGTTACTCCCAATGGAGCATAGGCCGCCGACCAGCTTTCTCCAACCCACTCTGTCCTGGGCCTTCTTTTCTAGTTCTATCCATTTTTTGTTCATTCTCATGTCTGTCTCTATTTCTCGGCGTAATGTGTTCTTTGGTCTTCCTCTTCTCCTTTGACCTTCAGGATTCCATGTGAGGGATTGTCTTGTGACACAATTAGGTGATTTCCTCAAGGTGTGCCCTATCCACTTCCAGCGCTTCCTCCTGATTTCTTCCTCCGCTGGAATCTGATTTGTTGTCTCCCACAGTGACTTGTTGCTGATAGTGTCTGGCCATCGGATCCGAAGTATCTTTCGTAGACAACTGTTAATAAACACTTGTATCTTCTGGATAATGGCTTTCGTAGTTCTCCACGTCTCCGCCCCATACAGAAGAACTGTCTTGACATTTGTATTGAAAATTCTAACCTTGGTGTTGGTTGACAATTGTTTTGAGCTCCAGATGTTTTTCAGTTGTAAGTATGCTGCTCTTGCTTTGCCGATCCGCGCCCTCACATCTGCATCTGATCCACCGTGTTCATCAATGATGCTGCCCAGATATGTAAAAATTTCCACATCCTCCAAAGCTTCTCTGTCAAGTGTAATTTGATTGGTGCATATTGTATTGTATCGAAGAGTCTTGCTTTTCCCTTTGTTTATATTGAGACATACTGCTGCTGAGACTGCTGCTGCTACACTGGTCGTTTTCTCCTGCATTTGTTGTTGCGTTTGTGATAGAAGAGCCAGATCATCCGCGAAGTCTAAATCGTCAAGCTGCATCCTGCCTGTCCACTGTATCCCGTGCATTCCTCCAGATGTTGACGTCTTCATAATCCAGTCGATCACCAGGAGAAAGAGAAACGGTGAGAGTAAGCAACCTTGCCTTACACCGGTCTTTACCTCGAATGATTCGGTGAGTTGTCCCCCGTGGACGATTTGGCAGTTTAGTCCATCATAGGAGTTCCGTATGATATTGACTATCTTTTGAGGCACGCCGTAGTGTCGGAGAAGCTTCCATAGTGTCGTCCTGTCCACACTATCAAATGCCTTCTCGTAGTCGATGAAGTTGATGTAGAGTGATGAATTCCATTCGATTGATTGTTCCACAATGACACGTAGAGTTGCGATTTGATCTGTGCACGATCTATCCTTACGAAATCCAGCTTGTTGATCTCGAAGTTGGGCGTTCACGGAATGCTTCATCCTGTTTAACAATAATCTGTTGAAGACTTTTCCTGGTATTGAGAGGAGAGTGATGCCCCTGTAGTTGTCGCACTTGCTGAGATCGCCTTTCTTTGGTATCTTGATCAGAAGTCATTCTTTCCAGTCTATTGGTACTTGTTCTTCATCCCAAATCTTACTGAAGAGAATGTGGAGTATCTCCGCAGTTACTGCTACGTTTGCTTTCAGTGCCTCTGCCGGGATGTTGTCTGGTCCCGCTGCTTTGCCGCTCTTGATTTGTTTAATGGCCATGCTGATCTCCTCAATTGTTGGTGGGCCAACATCGATTGGGAGGTCTGTGGGTGCTGCTTCGATGTTGGGTGGGTTCAGTGCAGTTGGTCGATTCAAGAGTTCCTTGAAGTGTTCTACCCACCTGTTTCGTTGTTCTTCAATGTCGGTTATTACTTTGCCTTCCTTGCATTTCATTGGTCTTTCTGGCTTACGGTAATTTCCAGCAAGTTTCTTTGTTGTATCATATAGTTGTCTCATGTTTCCCTCTCTTGCAGCCTTTTCCGCTGTCATCGCTAAATCTTCCACATATTTACGTTTGTCGGTTCTGATGCTCCTCTTCACTTGCTTGTTTGCCTCTGTGTACTCGGCTTGTGCCTTGACTTTTTCTGCTCTTGTTCGGCTGCTATTGATTGCTGCCTTCTTGTTCCTCCTTTCTCCAATTTTATCCAGCGTACCAACAGTGATCCATTCCTTGTGATGGTGCTTCTTTTGGCCCAGAACCTCCTGACATGTTGAAACGATTGCCTCCTTGATACCTTTCCAGTTGCTCTCCATGGTAGTTCCCTCTCCATTGAGTAGATCATGAAAGGCTTCGAACCTGTTGCTGAGGGCTATTTTGAATTTGTTGAGTTTGTCAGCATCTCGAAGAAAGGCCGTGTTTAACTTTTGTGATATTGTCCGCGCCGTTGTCCAGTGCTTCTTGAGTTTTAGTTTCATGTTGGCGACCAGAAAATGATGATCGGATGCTATATCAGCTCCTCTTCTGGTTCTCACATCCTCCATCGTCCTCCTGAACTTTTTGTTGATGCAGATATGGTCGTGTACTATCAGTTTATATGTTAAGCCCATATACTTTATTCTAGTTGCTGGCCAAGCCAATTCGCCTATCCATTATGAGTCATATTTTGATCTTGTTAATCACTTGCTTATTAACCTTGACTATACTTTTATATGAGCATATATGTGTACACTTCGTATCTTATTCATCATATGTCTGTCACTCATTTTTCTCCGACTATAAATGTTGATTAACGCTTGCTTAAATCGAGTTGGCTTCCCAGCCATCTCCAATACGCATCATCTTTCGCCTCGCTCTCGAGTTAGCTTCCCAGCCATCTCCAATACGCATTGTTTTCGCTTCACTCTCGAGTTGGCTTCCCAGGCATCTCCACTAAACTGTAGTTGCTGCTATCCTTTGTCTTCTGATTTTACGCACCGTTAAGATTATAATCATAACGGTTATCGAAGTAAACGATTAACGAATCGCGGCACTGCAGTCGATTTGATTCTGTGTAGTGTGATCCGGTGAAATCCAAGTGGCTTTGTGTATGTTTTTGTGTGGGAATATGGTGCCACCTATGGCCAATTTATTGAAGGCACATAAGTTCGCAAATCTCTCACCATTTTCGTTCCTTTCTCCCAGTCCATGTCGTCCCATGACGTCTTCGTATCCAGTGTTGTCCATTCCAACCTTGGCATTGAAATCTCCCATCAGAATAGTCAGGTCCTTGGTTGGGCACTTTTCGAAGATCGACTGCAGCCTATCGTAGAATTGGTCTTTAACTTCTTCATCGTAGTCGTTGGTAGGCGCATAGCATTGGATGACGTTGCTTTTAATGCCCTCTCTCTTTGTTTTGAAGGAGGCTTTGACGATCCCTGGTCCATGAGATTCCCATCCAATAAGTGCATTTTGTGCTTTTCTGGACAGCATCAATGCAACTCCTTGTGTATGTGGGGCATTTTCTTCTTCATGACCGGAGTATAACAGAAGTTCTCCTGAAGACAGTCGTTGTTGTCCAACCTGCGTCCAATGTGTTTCACTGATTCCAAGCACTTTCAGGTTGTATTTTCTCATTTCTGCAGCAATTTGGAAGACTCTTCCGGTCTCCCACATTGTCCGGACATTCCATGTACCTATAAAAATTGTCGCTCTGGTTGTAAGAAGGTGCATCGGCCTCATGACTTCCGAATGAACTCGGCTTTCATCATGAGACGTCATAATTATTCGTTCTACTCCCAGGGCAGAGTTTAAATGGTTTGAATGATTTTTTCTGGTTAGCGTTTTTTTAGCGAGTTGATTTTCTACGGGATGGGGTCGCTAACCCCATGCCCAACCCTCCTCCTTAACCCGTCATGGGACCGGCAGTAACCCCCAGAGGAGCTACAGGGGAGTTTCATAAAGTAACTAATATATTTTAAATAGATATCACAGATTTTGTTATCATTACTTAGATCCTGTGGGTTCTTTTTGGAAAGATTGATCAGTTTTAAAGTTGGTGGTTATCACCAACTGACATTGGCTAGAGAATTAATGACAACCTGAGAGTATTAGTCAGCTTGTTCATCCAGTTTTAAACTAGCTCATTACTCGATTGATCGTTCAACGTTTTATGTTAAGAAAAAGTTATTCTCATGAGAGATATCCTATCAGGAATTCTTCATCTGATAACAGTTCAAGATAGAAATTGAATACAATTATTTCGGAGTTTTTTTTCAGTCTCATTTCCTTAAAAAACTTACAAGTTGTTTTAAAAATTACTTGCAGATCTGCGTGAAAGGCAAACGATGCACAAAAGGCTATTATAAAGAACCAGAAAAATCCGCCGAACTTATTGACAGTGAAGGATGGTTACATACTGGGGATATCGGTGAATGGACACTGGTAAGTTCGACGATTTATTTTAATATGCTCTGTTTCATTGTTCTGTTTAGAAATACAAATCAGTTTTGAACTCACTTGGTATTGTTTGTTTGAATCTTCCCATTGACGTTTAGGACTGCAATTGATCAGTCTCTTATTGACATATGTGTATACTGTGCGTATTGCCTCGATATAGCCTTAATTCACAAGCATTATAAGCAAAGATGGATAGTGGCTAGCAGTGGAATCCAGCTGACGAGTCCCAAATAGAACGAAACGCTCGTCCTGGATTCCACTGCTAGCCACTATCCATCTTTTCTTACATGTCGGTGGACAAGAATCTAAATACAATACTTTCCTATAACGATTATTTTAAACTAAATTTTCACTTTCTAACAAGCGAACTTTATTCTCACAACAGTTTTTGAAAATATATATTTCAAGTCAATTAAAAATAATATATATATGAATTATGACCATGGAGTGCAACTATTGACTGAGTGGTGCCAACGAGTTTTCAGTGATATAAACTAAAATCCATAGATTGGATTAAAGAATATTCCGTGCATGACTGTGTTGGGGCACGCCGATTGGCCATTTCTTGACCAATCAACGCTAGAGGATACTTTGATTAGAAGCTAAAATCTCCTTATGAAAAATTGCAAATACACTAAAGTGTTTTCTATTGTGATTCTTATTTCTATCGCACCTTGTTTATTTGGAATATAATTATGTTCCTGTTCAACCGTGTTCTAGTTCGAAGACTTGTCGAGTAAAGTAATGTCCAAGAATATTAAATAATAAGGGAACATCACAACATCGAAATACAATGTTATCATGTTAAAACATTGTTAGACCATCATGGCCTATCTTTTGTCAAACTTCAACTAACTATGAGGAATCATTAATATACTTATTAATTTTCATGTTAGGAGGGTTCATTGAAAATTGTGGACCGCCTTAAAAGCATATTCAAATTGGCCCAAGGTGAATACGTTGCGCCGGAAAAAGTGGAAATGGTTTATCAATGTTGTAAATTGGTAAGCCAAATTTTCGTGGACGGTAACAGTAAACAAAATTACCCCGTTGCTATCGTCGTTCCCGATTTTACTGAGTTACGCTCTTGCTTAAACAACGCAGGAGTACTACATTGCTCAAAACTTTCGGACCATGAACTTTCCCGGAACAAAGTTGTAAATAAATTTGTCCTAGAAAGCATGAATGCTGTCGCCGCTGAAAATATGCTGAAAAGTTTTGAAAAGGTAAGAGGAACGTTTTGATACAACCTTTTACGAAAGATATATCGTAAAACAAGTATTTTACTCTATTTCATATATTTCGGCAAACGTAAAACAGAGATTGAGCTAACCAATTCAATTTTTAAGCAAATTGGTCAGTAAAGCTGTGAACTTGTATTAGGAGAAACGAATGAAATATTTTCCACTCGCGGATTTACTGCCTGCTAAACCAGGTAGAAATTCATAATTTCATTGGTAACTTGTAAGCGCATCTAACTTCTGTCGATTTTGTTTACAATTTTAAAATTATCCTAGATTTACATATCAGCATTTGATTTCGTATTTATTCTTAAACTTATTCCTTTGAACAACGTGACAATAAAAATTTTAATACGAAATAATCTGCTGATGTAATCTACGTTGTGCATGCATACCGGTAGACAAACCAGAATTAAGAATTCGAATGTGAATGCTCATTTCATTTTGTTGTGCTAATTTTGTATAACATTATGGGCTAACGTATACTTTTGTCAGGCTCTATGTTGATTATGATTTACGGTACACAAGATTTTTTCATACTTCTTTTCAGTCTGTGCGCTTAAGTGAACTCCAGTGCGACGCTGAATTTGATGAAATCGTTAACTACCAAGTGTGATCACAAACGTTTTTAACACTACTTCCACATCTTTTTCTATTTTCTATTCAGAGATTCTATTTTTTATTTGTACATAAGACAATTTTCCAAAATATGAATATACAAAAGGAGAATACTGATCCGAAATTATTTTTATTGATATCTTTCAATATCTCTAAATACATCAGTAGTTGGTTACTTGCTTATTCGTTCAAAAAACTTTTTATTGAAGTAGGTTTTCCAGACAATAGATTTTAGATAATTCGGTTATTAATAAAAAAATAAGTAATGGATTTCCATTTATTCTTAATTTCGTAATTATTTTACATAAATAATTAATTCAACAGCTTACCCATTTTGTATCATTTACAGTCATATTTCTTTGATCCAAGTTTTCCAAATTCTTTTATTTTCGACAGGTTCAGGCAATTTATTTGACAGATCAGGCATTTAACGCTGATAATGGATTGCTAACTCCAACGATGAAATTAGCACGTATCAAAGCTCGAAGTTATTTTTCAAAGATAATAGATAGTTTATACAACCAATCTTAGGTTGTCCTTACCTCTTCTTCGAATTAAATCGTGTGGTCTCTAACTTACGATGCTATTTATAAATGAACAAAGTGTGTTTTTGCGCCAGTATTTTTTGTGGGTGCTAAGAGTCAGACTGTAATACTTTTGAACATAGCCATTGTTCCATGTTAGCCCTGTGGTTAAAGCATTATCTGTCTAACAATATTTGTAGTGTTGATTTTTACAATTCAAACTCATCGTATTTTTTATATTCCGTTTTATTAAGCCTATAAACACAAATGAATTGAGATTTGTGTACTAATATTTCACGGCTTCCCCTTACTTTTGTTCAGAATGTTTCACAGGTGGTCATCATGTTCGTGTTACTTTCGAACTGAATAACTACTTTTGAAACACTGAAAAGACATTATAGATAATCTCGGATATTTTTGGAAGAGACTTTTTCACTGGTTTTTAGATATGAACTATGACACACTTTTGGTTTGTGGTCACCTTATTATCTGTATAATGTCCCATACAAACTATTTTTTTCCAGAATGTATCTAAGTATTCCTGATAGACGTACACTGTAAAAATTACTACATAAAGTAACAAACTTTAGTTATCTGAACATTAAACTCAATAAGAATGACATTTTATTACAAAATTCATCTTTTATTTCTATTGACTAATATTAAGTACAGCGTTTGTTACTACAAGTTGCAATTTAAATATACATTTAACTTTGTTGATTCCATGGTGTAATAATATAATGTTTAACGACGAACTAAAAATTTTCAGATCAATTATTTTGGATATTTTAACGGTTCTTAAGAAAAACAATGTTCACTGATAAAAACATAGATTCCAATCTTCATGATGGTAATTTCTGGAAGCTGAGAGTGAACAAAGAAATTTGCTGAACAAGATAAGGTCATATTATTTTATTACTTTTCATTATCGAAAGACATTGAAATAAAAGAAAGTAGCTAGTTTCAAGCACTTGTTAAATTACTTTCAACACTCTGTGGAATTAATGACTGTTTATTCTTAAGCGTTATTTCGTCGTAACCAGTTATTGTGATTAAGAATTGTATGATGCAGTTTATAAATCAATTGGTAAAGCGGTCTTTGATACATATACATATGTATTTTATATAATGTTAATGGCAAATGTTTTATAAATAAGTAGTAAGACAATATCACTATAATAATTTTTCGATACGATTTCAAAATGAAATCTTAGACGTTTTAATTATGAAAAATTACAATCCACGAATTCATTATTATCCATTTTAAGTTATGCAATTTTTCTGAATGTCATTGATTGTATCCACTTATTAATGACTTGAGCTTTTTGTATTAGTCCAATCAGAAATCACTTTTTTCTTTTTAAAAATTCTGTGTACTCATTTCTAACATAACTCTTCTATATTTCAATGATGATAATCAGTTTCAACAAAGTAATGATAATATTCATCATTTTTTATAAATAAATAAACTTAAGTCTGATCTAATACTTTTTTTTGTATTGTCAATGACTTTTGTAAATTCGATTGAGATCAACTGTATAAATGGATATTTTGTTTTACTTAATTTTAAATTCACTTAGTATTGTTTGTTTGAATCTTCCCACTACCGTTTAGGACTGCAACTGGTCAGTCTCTTAATGACATATGTGCATACTGTGCGTATTGCCTCGATATAGCTTAATTCACAAGCATTGTCAGCAAAGGTGAATAGTGGCTAGCAGTGGAATCCAGGACGTGTGTTTCGTCTTGTTTGGGACTCATCAGCTGGATGCACCTGCATCTGAGAGTTGATGTTCACTCTGGGACTCGAATCCAGTACTAGGTGAATTTAAACTTCACCCCATTGCTCAAGCAAGTGGCTATCAGAACTCAGTAGCTGAGTGAATAACGCGATGGCGTTTGAAGCGAAATGTACTGGGTTCGAGTCCCAGAGTGAATATCAATTCTGAGATGCATGTACATCCAACTGACGAGTCCCAAATATGACGAAACACGCGTCCTGGATTCCACTATTAGCCACTATCTATCTTTGCTTACAATTACCTAATTTTAGTTTTATCATGAAATATCTGGATTTATCAGGGTTTTTTTTTAAAAAATTGTAAAATAAACATTCTTGAAAGAAAAAATTGTTATTTAAGTTAACAGGTATTATTATTATTACTATACACATAAGTGTTAATTATATGATATCCATAGTTGATAAACAATTAAAATGTATTAATAATAATATATGAATTATGGTCGTATTATTATTATTATTATTGTTGTTATTATTATTAAGTTATTACGTAAGTTGATGAGAATTTCTTTGAGTGTTATTTCAATTGACCTTACCCATAGAAATACTATTTACTATAACAGTGAATTTATCTCATTTTCACCTTATTATAAAATAATAATATTATATTAATGAATATTAATGAAAATTGCTCTTCTTAAGATGAAAGGCATTTTAAGGTCAAAAAATGTTAAATTAATTAGGCTTCGATTGGTTACAGTAAATTTTGTATGCGAACAACGGAGAATTCTTGTCATATTCCGCAACGGATGGGAAGTTGAATAGACCGGACATTTGTTACATAACAACGCTTCAAGGTAGTCTACATGCTAATAAAGATTTAAATTTCATGACAACCTTAAATGTGTAAAAGAACAATTCTGTCTTACAGTAACAAGCAATCCAATATCTTCGTGACGAGCCTATATTAACCGATTGATTTCTTTGCACTCGTGTTCTATTATTTCGATACACACAACGAAGTAAACCAACTGAAGGCAACCACAGACAATCGTCTGACATCAAATGTTCCTCGGGAGATCGGAAATAGAAAGACATTATCGTTTAAATAAAGAACATGCAATTACAGGAAACTAGAAAACCTGGTACTTTTTCAACGATATTGAAGAGTACGCATGTTCAGGTGCATACATTTTCTTGATAAAATTAGTCCTAATCACCCGTTCATCACACAGTTTATGTCTTTATTAAGGTGTTAAGGAGCTCTACACTTTTTTGGGTGTACAAATTTGAACGCAACTGTCGGAAAATACACAAAAGGAAAATTTAATTGAATTAAATGTTCTGTATTTGATTAGTAATTCCTACTAGCCTTTTTTTTCTAAGCTCCAATTTCCTAGCTGATATAGTGCTTTAATCAGACATCGGTAAAATGTTAAGCCCATCCAGTTAATTACTAAAGAGCTTCTTTTTCACTCAAGTAGGTGTTTGGTATTGCGGATAAAAAGCTTATTATTAGCAGGATGAGACACTACACAGCACTATTTGCAACCACAATCACAAAAACGTAAAAATATTCATAAATTATCTTACTAGCTGCCAACATCACTGCATACAGCACAGAAAAACCTTTTATTACAGTTCAAGAAAAAATTGAGGTAATAAAGGATAGCAAATAATCTATAATGACTGATAAGCCCTAAAAAATTGTCGAGTAATGCAAAACCACATGACCTGTTTAAATGTAAAGTCGGACGAGGAATTTCCTTCTATGTTAATTAAATAAGGAAGACCAAAAAAGATCAGGAGAAAGCCTTACATCCAAACAAATAACAATTGACATCGGTTTCATCACAGAATCTTCAATGGCACTGTTACTTCCAAACCGATGTGATTTCAATTCAGTATAGTCTCTAGCGGAACGTTGGATGCCCGTTATTTCACACAGATAAATTAAACACAATGATTAAGTTGAGTATGTTTCTAAGTGAATACCGTTACCGGGTTATGCATCCCATAAAGTTGTTCCTCCAGAATGAATAATCCAGTCGAACATAGAACAGAAAAGGTGCTCCTGTTAATCAAGAAACTTTTTTTTGGGACGAATCAAAACGATCAGTTTTAAGAGCAATAATCAAGCCAGGGAAGATCAAGAATATATCCACCAAAGTTAGAGGTCAAGTAAAGACATATTAACCTAGTCTGTAAGGACTATAAGAGCGAGTGAGAAGTTGGGAAAACTAAAATTGTATTTAAAGCGAACAAAGCAGTCCCGTCAATGACCAAACAGTCGATAGAATATGCGACTGAAATTGTCCAAATAACAACTTTACATAATAGAGTAAAAACAAAGTGTTATTGCTACTTAAAGTATGTACATGAAGAGATCTTCACAAACAAGCACATACATAAATGCAGACACGTGCACTAAAGGACATTTCACAAGGTACATATGAACAGGTACTTGAAAATATGTAGACATTCTTGTAAATCCTGTCCTTAAGGTATAAAATGATAATATTTGATTTGTTATGTCATCGAACGTCCAATGAGGGGACGTTAACCTTCATTATTTAAGAACAATTTTGACACAAACCAAATGTCCGGAAAATTTAACAGCTGGGTATTTTTGCTCTTACTAAATGGAGGTGCTTTAACTGTTGGATATTGACGCATACTAGAGTTTATTATAACTCATAACGATATGGTAATAATCTTTCCTCAGAATTAATAGATATTGCTCATCTGAATTATTTTCTACTGTTGTAGCAAACTGCAAGTTCAAAATCAACGAATTCGCGTTAATGTACATATTTGCAAACTGTTGAAAGTTTTGTGTGCTATATGTAGGCTAAACATGTTGCTTTATTGAAATTCGTGGTAATAAATGTTCGGATACAAGTGTTAATTATGTTCTTGAAGCCTTGACATGGAATTAGCACAAATCATCCCACTTATTTGGCGGCCACAGTCACCTGCTACAAATACTAAGTCTCAGTTCATGACATTTTGATATGTGTAAAATACTGTAGTCTAGAGACATGTCAATGTAAGTTACATGAATATAGCTACATTTTTCCAGGTGTCTTGAAGTTTATCAATCGATTAATGTGTAGTGACCGGCCTGTCTCTATAAGAACACGATTAGAACAATAGAAACAATTATTATTATTATAACCAGTTGTACCAGTGATTGTTTTACTGTACTTGTTTAACTGTATCAGACTCACTTCTTGTTCCGCTATCCGCCTTGTTCGGTTCGAACT